GCTCAGTCGGTTGAGCTTCCGACTTTGGCTCAGGTCATGATCTCTTGGTTCATGGGTTCAAGCTCCACGTCGGCCTCTGTGCTGACAGCTCAGAGCCTGCAGCCTGATTCGGATTCTGTCTCCGGCTCTCTCTGCCCCTCCCCCGCTTGTGCTTTCTCTGCCTCTAAAATAAATAAACATTACACACAAATTTAGAATTCAGTAGGATTGAATTAGGCTGAAAGGATGGAAAAAGCCTACCTAACAGACTCTTAAATAAAGGGTCTGTCTGGGGGGACCAGGCCAGGGCTCCGAGGGACTCCTCTCTTCTTCCCCCCTCACCCACTACACGGGCTTCCACGCTCATGGTCACAGATGGCTGCTGCACCACCAGGCATCACAGTCCATTCTAGAGCACAGAAGGGCTACAATGGGGAAGGCCAACTAAGACTGTTCCTTTAAAAGGCTCTCCTGGAAGCCACACTAAGCGACATTCACTTGGGTCTCAGCCAGAACTGAAACAAGTTAACCCTCAGCCCCAAACACAGGCATAGCACATGCGGAATGATCTAACTTCGGACAAACACGTCTATGGGATCACCTGCAGCTCTGAGAGCCCATTCTCATCCGGGCTCAGCCAAGAGTCAGCCAGAAGTCCTTCGTAAATTACAAGTCACCAGCCAGGGTGATTTATAGGAGAGATTTATTTGAAGAAATATTACAACATATAAAAACTACATAAAGTCTTAATTCCCACTCATACGGTGGTAGATTTGATATAACGCATAATAAAAAACTTTTAAAATCCAGAATGCACAAAGTACGGCACAGTTTGATCACTAAGTCATTAGTTGATAAGCAAACCTCACAGAACAGCTTCATGTCAGCCAAGGCCACAAACACCGTGTACAACACATTTGAACTGACAGATTTTGACATGTTAAAAATACAACATCAGTGCATGTTGGGGATCCCTGGTGCCAGAAACAAGGGTGACGGGAGGGCAAAACTAATCCTTGGTAGCTTCCTCCTCCTTGATTTTCACTAAAGAGAAATAAAAGGTAGAGTCATCGCAGAGAACAAGCACGACCCTGCACGACGCAACAGGCAAGTGTAACGAACAGAACTAGGGGCCCCTGGGTGGCTCAGTCGATTAAGCATCCAACTCTTGATTTCGGCTCCGGTCACGGTCTCACGGTTCGTGGGTTCGAGCCCATGTCGGGCTCTGTGCTGACAGCGCAGGCCCTGCTTACAATTCTCTCTCCCCCTCCCCCCTCCCTGTCTCTCGCAAAAGAAACATACTTAAAAAAGAGAGAAAAATCGAGAACTAGGTTAGCAGCCAGGTGTCGACGTTAATGGCCCTCCAAGTGAGACGTGCAACAGCTCTGAGGGAACAGAGGGAGACCGCGCCCTGCTCCCAGGGGTTCCCTACGTTCCCAGCCTGGGCCCAGCATCCTGAGCCGAGCCGCGCCAGCCCTGAGAAGGGCAAGACTATGCACCATCAGCAGCCTCCCATGCCCTGGGGAGGCACTCCTCTCGGCTTTGTGGCCAACACTCTGGCGCTTGATCTCAAGCCAACTGAAGCTGGCCCAGAAAGCGTGACACAGCGTTCCCACCGGGAGGAAGGAGGCGGTCGTGGCTTGGCGCGACGCCCCGGTCAGTGGCATGCCTACTCAGCGTGAGCCCGTTCCGTGGCCTCAGGCAGTTCCTGTGACTCGGGACCTAACGGCCTACCTCCCCCACCCTGAAGACCCGTGTCAGGCCCACCTAGAAAGGACCTGGCGGGCCTGAAACTCAGATCGACATAGAGGTCACCATGCTTCACTTTCAGCCAGAGGTTACTTTCCAGAGAAACAGGAAGGGGGGGGGGGTGTTGCTAGAACCCCCGGGGTACTGTTGCTTTGTAAGCCATGAACAGGCATTCCTTAGAATCACGTGTAATTAAGAAATAGTAAACTTAACACCCTGGTATCAGTGAGGGGAACTGTGGAGTTACCGTTTCCACCCTGAGCCCATTTGTCTGCTCCTTCCACTCCAGGACAGTGCCCTGGAGCTTTCCTTTAGATAAACCTGCCTCCAGGCTGTGAAGTGACAGTAGCCTTAATTAACCACATGACCCGCGGGCTCTGGGTCCCGGTGACAGGCTCTCTCCTTCCGGGCGTCCCCTTCCACTGGCAATACCGAGGCCAATCGGCCAATAACTCCGGGGGGCTCCGTGTCCCTCAAGTGACCCGTGAGCCCTGCTTTCCCCCGGAACCTGCCACCCTGGGTCAGACAGAGAAATCTCTCCGTCAGGGGGAGCCACTTTGAGGAGGGGGCTCCAGTGGCGCCTCACACGGGGACAGGAGGAAGGAGGCACGGCCCTGCTCGGCTGACCTGCCGGTGCTTGTCCGGGATGTTGCCGAACAGCCGGTAGGTGTCCGGGAAGCCCTGGGAAGCAGGCACACTCCACGCACGCTCACGACGCCCAGAATGCTGCTCAGGGAGGAAGAAGCGGCCCTGGAAGGGGAGGTGGGAAGGGGAATGGGACTGGGCCGCCGCCATGTCCCGGCGGGGCAGGAGGAGGAAACTGAACCATGGAGAAAGCACACTGCAGCCTCCAGACACCTCAGTAGCTGACGGCGATTCCTCCATCGGCCCAGAAGGCGGGGGGAGGCGGGGGAGGTGGGGGTGAGGGTGCGACTCCCCAGGGGCCACCCCCCTATGAGCCTGCCTCTCCGTCCCCTCCTGGCACCTCCTGGCATCACACCGAGCCCATAGACCCACCTGCCCATGGGCTCGGGGTTGGTGACCAGTCGTGCCTGAAGAAGCCATCCCTGGGAGCAGATCAGCAGGCCCGGCCAGTGGTTTACCGTGCCTGTTCAGTGTGGGGCAGGCACCAGGGGAATGAAGTGTTGAACTGTCTAGCAGAATCTACAGGCTTTGCCGCTGGAAGAAAACATGAGACTGTGGTTACAAGAGCAGGAGAACGACAGCCGACAATCCCTGTCCCCAAGCTCTTATCACTTAAATGCTCTCAGCAGCAGCTATTTCTTCCCAAAAGCCAGGGGCGTCAGCGCCCAGCCAGGTCCTCAGGTCAGTGAGTGGCAGCCCCAGTCTCCTGCTGGGAGCCCCAGGCAACAGTGCTCCTCCAAGCCCCTGGACGCTGCAGAAGTCAGGATCAGGGGCTGGGAGAGCTGGGGGGATCAGGATCCCAGGGGGGCTGGGGCGGAAGCACCCCACCCGACGTGCTGGCAGGGGCCCCACCTTCCACAGAGGAGTGAACCCAGCAGGAGGAGCCCCAGTGCTGCTGCAGCGTTCTTCACCCATGGTGCGTGTGCGTGCTTCCACCCAGCCTGTAATTGCCAGCCGGGACACCTCGATGTTCGGCAGGTGCATGCCGAGTCTGAGCCGAGGCCAGAGGGATGTGCACGCATCTTGAGGCTGACCTGGCAGCCCTCATCTGAAAAAGTCACAGCGGAGGCCCGGCGTCCATCATTCATGGTGTCTAACACCGGTAATTGCTGAAGCCACCATCAGGAACAGGCTCTATGCCCGGTGACCAAGAATCCTGGGGGCTGTATCCCATCGGGAGAGGACAAAAGAGCAATAACCGGCGACCTGCAGACTACGCGATGCCTTGAGAGAAGATAACAAACCTGGACGTGGCTTGAAGAATGAAATGGGTGAGGAAGGACAGCTTGGGGCAAGCCGATAGGAGCTAAGAGGAGGGGGAAGGCAGTGTGAGCTGAACCCATGAAGGAAAGTAGAAGGAAGGAGAACAGGATGGAAGAACGGGTTTGGCGTATCTGGGGAGAAACTGCTGCCTGAAAACAGGTGTAAACGAGAGTCGAGCAGCGAGACGAACACCGGTCCGGGAGAGTGGGCCTCCTGTTGACTGTGCTACTCTGCGGCTGCTCTTGAGAGGCGGGGGGGAGGTGGTAGTGTACACACAGACAGCAGTGGCAAAAAGAAAAGCTGGGAGGAGAGAGGAGGTCTGGGCTCAGACCTGACAGAGTAGGAGTGGGCGGGGGCCTGGATCAGGTCGCTTCCCACCCAGCTCTGGCTGGGCTCCCAGCTCCCCGTTCTTGCTCCAAGGGCCATGACCCGTGACCACACACCTGGCGCGCTGCCGGCAGGGGCATCCCATTACCTTACAGATGTGGTCCCTGAGGTGGGCATGAGCCTGTATGAGCAGACTGCCTCTGGAACTCCCAGGACTGAGAGCTCCCCGTTGTACAAGATCTCTCAGCGCTTGAAGCTCCGTTCGGACCTGGGGAGGTCCGGGATATGGTGATGTCCCTTGCAGTGATGGTTCCGGGAGCCTGAGCTCAGCCACTGCAGGCTGGCACACACCAGCCCCAGTACCTCTGAGGACCCAGGAGGCTGCTGTCCCGCACATTACAGGTGCCACGTCCCGACTTGACATTGCCGCCCTCCAGGGGGGAGCAGCAGCTCCCAGGTCAAGGGCCGCGAGGCCACATGGGCGGCGCCTTCTCCAGAGCCGGTCTATGCAGGAATGGCCGGAGGGGTATGGGCCCTGCTCTCGACTACAGCCAGGTCCAGTCGGCCTGCGTGCGGCTCACTCAGAGGTCAGAAAGCACTCGTGTGGCAGGCGAGCGCTGCGCCGAATCCCGCGCATAACACGTTCTCCGCCGTTCCAGGTCTCCCCAGCAGACCCGCCACCAACAACACGCGGGTAACAAACACCGTGACACGACAGGGCGGGGCAGGCGGCGGGCTCCTGGTTATGTTGCTGACAAACTTCTTGTCGTCCACCGGCAGCTCAGCTGGCAGGCCAGTGAGCAAGTGCAGTGGCCTCAGGCCAGAGGAAGCTTCTCCGGGGCTGCAGCCAGGATGATGGCCGCCGCCTCGGGTCGTGCTCATACCCAAACCAGCCTGGAAAGGGCCGAACCTGCACACGCACAGATCAAGCCCCTAAGTTAAGTCTGCAATTTATTTTTAATGTTATTTTTTTTTGGGGGGGAGGGGCAGAGGAGAGGGGGGGCGTGGACCAGCCCGAAGCACCAAACTCCAGGCTGACAGCAGAGAGCCCGACAGGGGTTTGAACTCATGAACTGCCCCATGAGGCCATTGACCTGAGCCCGGCCTTGGGCCAGCTCAATAGCCCAGAGCCACCCAGGCATCCCTGTTGGGATTACTCTCACTCTTAACAGTGATGCGCCAAAAGATCCCGCGTGAGGGCCACAAACTTGGAGAAGATGAAGTAAGCCCTGCTGTATTCAGCCCGTGCTTTCAGAGCCCTCTTGAAGGACCCTGTGGTCTCCTTTTCCCGGGGAGACAAGGGGAGCAAAAAGCCCACGGAGCCCTGCAGCCTACCTAGCAGTGGCGGTCACAAAACTGCCAACAAGGTTAGGCTGGTGAGCCCCAGACCCAGGGGAAGCTGGACGAGGGTGGGGGGGCGACATCCCTCACTGCCTTCCAGCCGAGCCGTGTCAGGCGTCATGCCAGAGCTAGTTATGCTGTTGGTACTGAACAGGCAAAATGTACACGGTAGCTGCTTTTCGGAGTCCAACCCTAATTCCTCTGGTCTACTGATCTCGATCCTTGCAGACAAAGCTCCCAGTAGCTCCTGGAGGGCGGTCTCCCACCTCCTCCTGAGGTTTGTACCCGCGTCATGCCTTCACCCAGGAAGACAATTAACCAGCTGACGGTTAGTCTGTGCATCCTTCTGCCATTCTTGCTTCACCATGCCCCACACTTGGGGATCAGGTGCTACTAGGGTTCCCCAACAGCCACCACCCTGGCCTCTCAAGAGGAAGGGGCTGGGAGGCTTCCCTCCTCAGGCACGAGGATGTGACTCTTGAGAAGAGGCAGGTGGCCTTACTGGCACACGAGTTCTGTGCTCCCCAGACCTGACAGGCAGCCCAGCGAGCTTCACGGTAGTCTTGAGACCCTGCCGATCTCCCCCACCGCACCGGCACCCCCACAGCTCACGGCACTGCACGCCCGTCCTTTTCAACTCTACCTTCAGGTAGAGACCATCTGCTGCGGTGCAGGGACCACCGAGCCCCCCTCCTGTCCACACCTGTCAGCCCACCTTTGCCCCCTTCCCCAAGAGAGCCTACCTGCAACACGCCGAAGGTGCACTGATAGCCCATACGGACAAGGCAGCGGAGAGTGAGCTTCAGGACCATGGAGCGTTTGAAGGAAACGAAATTCCGGACGTTCTCCAAGAGGAAGTAGCGGGGCCGGTAGTAGTCACAGTAGCTGTGGGAGGCGGGAGAGACTACGAGGGTCATCCGCACGCACCAAGTGAAGAGAAAGACCTACTCTACCCGAAGCTACACCCAAATCCTTGATATCTGCTTGCTGGGAAGCTGCACCTGCTGACTCTCCGTCTCCCTGGCAAGAAGCCAGCTGCGAATGCCCTGGAAGCAAAGGCCGGGCGCCTCCCCTCCACACGTGGCCTTCAGCAGGTACAGCGGCTAAGCCAGCTGCTGCTACCCCGGAACACCCCAGGGCCGGCAGTCTAATCACCGCCAGGCAGTCCTGAGCACAGGGGCTGCTACTCTGTTTACCTGAGAAAGGAAACCACCAAGGAGTTCTTGAACTTGGAGTAGGTGCGAGAGTTGAAGCGGTTCATGCCGCTAAACCCCTGGCAAGGCGGCCCACCGCACAGCATCTCCACATCTCCCTTCTGAGGCAGCTTCTGACCACGGGAGTTGGTGGCCTCCCCGGCCATGACCAGCTTCAGCAGCACGTTGCAGTCCTCCGTGAACACCGTGGACCCGGGATTGTTCAGCCGGAACGCCTGGGCCGCAGGGTCCCACATCTCAATGGCCCACAGCGTTTCCGAGATGCCTGGTAGATACGAGGACAGATACGTGCTAAGAAACCCTCGAATTACGCTCAAGGCAGAACCGGGACCAGAGCCAGGAAGGCCTTCCAGGTAGAACCTGACTGATCCGGTTTTACTAGCTCTGCAGAGAAAACCCCATGGCATTTACCTGCTTGGTGGAATCCTTCCGACAACCCTCCACAGCCAGAAAACACGTCCAGGGTCCGCAGCTTGGGCAGCTGAATTTCGGTCTCTGGTTCACTTGGCTCGCACGTTTGAGACTTTGCCTTGCCCTTCCCTGGAGACAGGCCAAAAGTCAAGTCTGAGCCCTAACCTGCTGTCCCTAAACGCTCATTCTGAATTAACAGCAAAGAATGAGGTAACATCAGAGGCATTTTCATACCAAATGACTCATCTGTAGCCTGAATTACGTAAGGCAGACTTGAAAAGAACCCTGTGGATAACCACTTACCTTTCCCCTTCCCCTTCCCTTTATTTCCAGGGCTACGGGCATGGTTAGGAGGATCTTCAAAGCTTTTGTTCTTGGCATTATAGGCCTGAGAAGGAAAGAACGACAATAGTCTGGGAGAGAAACACACCGGTCTCTTCTCTAACAAGGACAATTTAAATTAACCTGCTGAAGACCCACTTAATTTCTCCCTAAATTTGGCCACAAGCAATTAGCCGTCAGTGAAAATACTCTGATTTTATTACACTGGCAACAGGGAAAAAAAGTTCTAGAATGTAAGTATTTTATGTGCCCAACATTAGAATTCCTGCTGTTCAAAGCCCCTGGACTACCCATTCTAAAAACTGGAAAAAGTGATATATTCGGCCATCCACAGTGGAACCTGGGGAAACCCAGGCACGTATCAACTTCAGAGAACGTAACACAGAAAAGCCACGCTCAAACAATTTAAAAGTGATCAGCTTAAATCGACAGACTCCCGGATCCTTTCTCCATCACCAGGGCCACTGCCCCGGTGTATAGACCTCACCTGGCCGCAGATGCCTCGGTGAAGGGACTGGGACTGCCTGGGGTAGGGCCTCATGAGTCCGCCAGGGAAAGGGGCATCTTTCCCTAACTCACCCTAAAAGAATCAGTAGGGCTGGTGGAGGCCACCTAAATAGTCTCCAAATAAACCGCAGAAGCAGAAGGATGCTCCTATGTTTATATTCTGCGTTATAGAGTCTTTTTATTTTACAGAGAGAGTGTGTGCACGCCCACAAGCAGGGGAGAGGGGCACAGGGAAAGTAGGCTCCGTGCTCAGTGCTGAGCCTAACGCACGGCTTGATCCCGCAACCCTGGGATTATGACCCGAGTTGGACGCTCAGTTGACAGAGCCACCAAGGCACCCCTCCGTTCTTTTAAAGGCAAGTGTCACGTTCCAGAGGAATTTGAATGCCACTGATTCATACTCTGGGTAAGTCAACTGCTTTCGTAGGGGCTGTGACTGTGACCTGAAGCCTCTCCCTGCGATAAGCCCGGAGTCCCACCTCGAGGAAGTAGAAGCGGTCTGGGCCACCCGCAGAGAAGTCCTGGAGGCCGCCTGGCAGGTCCTCCCCGTACTCCACGGTACAGCGGCCCTGCACGGCCTTGAAGTCCACCACCACCTCCTCGTCACTCCAGTAAAGCAGGTTGATGTCCGCGTGGTAACTGGCCGGCGTAGACTTGTGGGTGTTCTCTGGCCTGAGCGTGGAAGACTCTTTGTTAACAATCTCCTTTGTTACGAACGGGACAATTAAACGGCCCCCCATTTCTGGGGGTGCTCAGAAAACCCATGGGTAAAGACCACAACCCCCCAGTTAAGGGGATCGGTTACTACCCCCCCTAAGCCAGCACCACCGCCAGAGTGGGCCTCCTTGCCACGAACTCAGCGGCTGGTCTGCTTGTCTGCTTGCTCTTCACACCCACGACTGCGGTGCAAACAGCCCCGCCCTGCGTCCAGAGCAGCAGCCGCCTGCTGCCCAGTAAGGATCTAGACCTTCCTCCTCTTGCCTACACTAGCCAGCCTGGTTTCTTTTCTGTAAACACAAATGACTGTTGCAGAGGCTGTAATAATCTTTCACGTATATTAGTTAAGAAGTGAAGCAACCTTATACCCATCTCTATCAGTTAGCTCCTGATCAGTACGAGTTCCTAGGGTCCCCAAAAAAAGAGTGAAGCCAAGACCTTAGGAAAAGTGTAGACAGACAGAAAGCCCAGAAACAGGAAGAGGCACCTAGGAAGAACAGGAAGAGAGAATGGGGGGGAACCGGGGGGGAGGGGACACAACTCAGACAATCGTAAACAGAACTTGAGATTCTCTGAGGGTGTCTTAGGCAGAGCCCAGGACGTTCCACTCCTGATTTTGTCATACTCTTTTTTTTTTTTTTTTTTAATGTTTGTTTATTTCTGAGACAGAGCATGAGTGGGGAGGGGCAGAGAGAGAGGGAGACGCAGAATCCCAACCAGGCTCCAGGCTCTGAGCTGTCAGCACAGAGCCCGACGCGCGGCTCGAACCCACAAACCGTGAGATCGCGGCCTGAGCCGAAGTCGGTCGCTCGACTGACTGAGCCACCCAGGTGCCCCATGATCTTGTCATACTCTTGACTTCTGCTTAAGGATTTCTTTGGGGGAGACAACTCTGCGGCTCTAAAACAAAGGTCTAAAGCAAAGCTATGAAATATAATTACAATTCTAGTCCCTGTCAGCACCCACCAGATAATTAGAAACACTTAGAAAAACAGCTACCTCTACCGAAGTCTTAAAATACCACCGTGTGTGCTGTTACAACCCCATTTCAGACTTCCAGAAGTCTGCCGCCATCCTGGAAGAGCAGAGGCCTTCACTGACCTGTAGAACTTGTTGATTCTGATCTTGATGTCGGTCTCATTGGGCCTGCCATTGCTCTTCTTGATACAGAAGATTTCTTTGATTCGGCCAATTCGATACGGCTCGGGGGCATCCAGGTTGCTGCCTTTGATGTAATCGGAGTATTTCCGGTAGTGTTCTGGGTAGAGGTCTTCGTCCACAGGCTCCTTCCGCGGGCGCTTCACGGGACTGGACAGCTTGATGCTGCAGAGAAGCCAGTGTTACGCATAACTGAATGTGAAGCCATAAAAAGGAATCACCTCAGTGTGACCGGCCAGTAACACTACTACTTAAATCCAAACACCTTCTAAACCAGTGCAGCTAAGCGCCTGGAGATTTACGGAGAAAGATGAAACCTCATCCAGTTTAAAGCGGCTTTCTCCATCTGTGTGCCACTGGCTACGGTAGCTGCTGACGCTGTTTGAATAGGCCCAGCTCCCAGCCGCGGGACAGGACGGCACTTCCCGGCATGTGCCTCGTTCTGCCCAGCGAGTGCGAGAAAGGACACACAGCGGTGCTGGCAGGAACGCTGAGCTGCCTCCAGTACGCTCTCCCTCGGCTCAGACCGGCAGCCCCGAGAAGCCAGTGCTCCCACCAGCCCCAGCCCCCGAGTGACCCAACAGGCCAAGTGCCCTACTGAACCACGAGGGACACGCAGTCCAGGCAGGGAGGCAACTTCCACAGCTGTGGGGCTGTCACCAAGCATGACCTAGGCTCTCCCGACTGGGGTGCTGACCTAGAGGGAATGCTGAAAGGGCATGGGTGGAGACTCACAGTCTGGGCAAGTTGAACCTGGCCTGACTACGGGGGTAAAACCGGTCATCGGATTCGGCTGCAGGCTTGAAGCCTGCTGTTCAGGAAAGCAGCTGCCATGTTTTCCCACCAGGCCTCCTTAGTCCACTGGGCTCCGAAGGTACCTGTGAGCACCTGTGTGGACACGTCTTCTGTGCAGGGAGCACCTGGGCAGACAGCACTACGGGCGTCCCCCCCCTCCACACTGAGGACAGCCGGGGCTAAAGCGGGTACTCGCACCAGCTGCACAGGCTGAGAGGACCCTGACCTCCGTGCTCTGTAATTCGTAATGACTGAACTGAGGTTGGGAACTGGGACTTTAGGAACTGCAAGTCGGGAAACGGAGAAGTTCTGAAAATGTTGGTTGGAATTCAACCACGTGCTAGTTCTGAGAACAAAGACTGGATCGAGTGTGGAGACTCGGCCGGCCTATTTCTCCCTGAAGAGCCCCAATCCTCTGATACACAAAGAGATCTTGATACTTCTTGGCAAATGGGATTACAACCCACGTTCATTCAATCTTTCCTTTAGGCCCTTTAACACACTTCATCCCAAGAGCCCGGCAGGTGAAATACTCCTCCCACGTGACAGACCAGAACAACAGGAGATGGTCTCTGCCCCAAAGCCTCAGGGCTGGGTGGGGCCAGGCCCCCACCACAGACACTTGTGCTTGGCCAGCACACGCTCTGACTTCTTTCAGACTTACTATAGTCACTCTACCATGGAGGGCGGGATACTGCTGATCACCACACATACTAAGGCAACAGTCCAGGCAGCGGCTAGTCCTGGGGGTACAGGGAGGGGGACAGACCACAGAGCCCACCCGGCACTGGCCCAGCGCTCATGGCCCTGACCTGGGCCAAAGGGGCACTCACTTGAACGTGAAGGCCTCGGGCAGCAGGTATACGCCGTCCCCGACGCGATACTGGATGCCGTTCTTAGTGGCCGAGCCGTAGAGAACCCGGCTGTCCAGGTCCTCAAGCTGTTCCATGACCCTGGGAATCTCTTTTTGCCTCATTTCAGCCAGACGGGCACAGCTTACACAGAACCTGAAGGAGCGAGGGACAGAAACAAGGGGCCCTGAGCTGGCTTCACCCGAAGCTTCTGGTGACCAGTAGAGGATGTCTGCAGACACTTGAAGAAACCGGCTTCCTGCAGTTTGTGTTCACACTCCAAAAACACTTATTTGGGACCAAAGACCAGAGATGAAACACAAGAGAATACCAAGCTGATTCCACTTGTGAGAATTTGATGTGAAAACCCTAAGACAAACAGAACGCAGAATTAGGAAAAGAATACGCCACAAGCAAGAATGCAGAGAATGGTTCGGTCACAGCTCGATGTCAGAGGAGTCTCCTACTGTTACCTCTAAAGGCTGAAAAGCTAATTGGTAAAATTCAACATTTCTGATTAGTAAGTCCTTAAAGGAGAGCTAGAAATGGCCTTCACTAGAGATCAAATCAAGAGGCAGCACCAAGGCTGACTGGAGAAACACCGGGGGCACGTAAGCCAGCCCTCCCAGCCCCACCCCATCGGCCGAACTGCTGCCTCAGAGGTGCCAATGCGACTTTAGTTTGAACAAGTGAGGTACAGGGGTTACAAAGGAAGGCACAGGGCACTAAACATCGAAAGAGAATTTAAAAAGCAAGCCTCCTGGGTCACCTGGGGGGCTTGGTTGGTTGGGAATTTGACTTTTTTTCCCCCTTAACATTTATTTATTTTTGAGAGAGACAGAGAGAGAGAGACAGAGAGAGAGAGAAAGAGAGAATATGAGAAAGAAAGAATATGAGAATATGAGGAGCAGAGAGAGAGGGAGACACAGAATCAGAAGCAGGCTCCAAGGCTCTGAGCTCTCAGCACAGAGCCCGACGCAAGGCTGGGACTCACAAACTGTGAGACCATGACCTGAGCCGAAGTCGGACGCTTAACCGACTGAGCCACCCAGGCACCCCTGTGGGGGTTGACTCTTGATATTGGCTCAGGTCATGGTCTCCTAATTCATGGAATCGAGCCCTGTGTCAGGCTCTGCACTGACAGCATGGAACCTGCCTGGGATTCGCTCTCTCTGCCCCTGCCCCACTTGCTCTCTCTCAAAATAAACATTTTTTTAAAAAAGACAAAAACAACCAAGCCTCCCTAAAAGCAGTCACTCATCAGCTAGAATGACATGGAATCAAAGGTACCACTCATGAAAGAAAATATCTAAAAAACAGAAGGAAACATGCAAGATACGTAGCAGAAACGCTGAGCCACACGCAAAGAGGCTGAAGACAGAAAGCTGCATACTGCTCCTGGATAGGAGAGCTTCTCATAAAGGCAACTCCGTGCCCAAGCTGTCCACACACTGAAACCAACTGCAACCAAGTCAGGCTGGTCTTTGATTAGCAGGGGAAAGAAACCCCACCAGAGAGAAGCATGTGAAAGGCCAGAGTGATGCACAGATAAGCACACAGCCCTGGAGCACCACAGAGGCGGCCCCACAGAGGGGACCCGGGGCCCGGGCCCGGCCCGGGCCCAGCACTCACTTGTACTTGTTGTCCTCCGTTGGCTGGGTTTTCGGAGGGGACTCAAACCTTGCGTAGTCCTGGTCATACCACAGCTGGTAGAAGTAGGTCTTTCCATCGTCCTCCGCCATCAGAGGCTCAGGATCCATGCCTCCCTTTGAGGACAAGGACCTGGTGTCAGCCAGGAGCCCAGGCAGGGAGGGGAAGGGCACGCCAAGGGGCGCCAGGCACTCACCTCCATGGCCCAGTTCTCTGACGGAGCTTTATAGACGACCTTCACCTTGCTGTGAATGTAGGAAAGCTGCATGTCCTCACATTCGTCTACCAGGAACAGCTCCAAGGGGTCCGACGTGGCTCCGAGGACTGTGTCTGTCCCCGCGCAGAACCAGTGGGCATGAAACATCTGCCCGTTGCTGCTGTCCTCCCACAGCGCAGTGACTCTGGAGTCAGAAGAAAGTTGCTAACCCGACTGGCAAACCTGGACCGAGTCTACTTAGGGGAACTTGTATTTGCAGTGTGTCTAGCCCAGGGCAAAGAGCCACTGCTGTATTCACACATAAGCATCTCCTAGGTGTTCAAGAGAAAGTGTGTGCGGAGGTCAAGCGAAGGAAAAGGTACAAACCTGGCTAAATACAGCGGTTTGGAGGAGTCATCTGGAATAACAGAGACGCAGTCCCCCACTTCCAGGGTTTCTGAGTCAATGCACACCTTCTTAAAGTAACTCTTCTTTCCATCAGTCTGGAAACGAGAGCTTCGTTTCAGGTGAGGATGGGTTCAAAGGTCTATGCTAGGCTTGACCCCCCTGTTCCTCTTATTTTGTATAAAAGCCTAATTCCTGACAATTTGGTAAGCCCTGAGCTCTACTGCCCTGGCTACTACAGAAAACCTTCGCTTCCTTGGCTGGAAACCTGCAACTCAGAGCACACACATTCCCTCCTCGTCAGCCCCGCGCTTCAGTGTCAGTAGCAAATCAGATTCCAGCATTTGATTTTGAACAGTGCCGGTCCCAACCCCTCCCAGTGGTCCTAATGCCACATCCCGCCCCCAACTCTGTCAGCCACAAGGACCCACTTCTCCCACAAGGAAAGCTAGTTTCCACCTGAGGGCCTCTGCCCTGACTGGCCCCCAGGTCTCTGAGACTGGTTCCTCACCAACCTTCTGGGTCTCAACTCAGATGCGCTGCCTCCTCGGGAGCCTCCAAGGTCCCCACCTCCCTCCAGCCCTCCACTCACCGGACAGAACATGCGCCTGTCCTCCTGTACGAGGGGCTCAGCCCCACAGGACAGGGGCTCAGCCCCATTCAGGCCTACAGCAGCATCTGGCAGGGGCAGGCCTCACGCTACAGACCAGATCTTTGGCTTCCAGACATCAAGGAAGCAGCGCGGAGAGACTACTTGCTCTCCGGCTTTGGTAAAGGAGTTGTGCCTTAGATGGACCGTCACAGGACGGCAGGGAGGCCATCTGCGAGTGTCACAAAAACACCCGCTGCCAGGCCGGGGTGGATGGGGCAGTGAAGGCTCTCTTCGAAACAAGCTTTGAAGGGGAACCAGCCTGACCCCTCCTAGGACAGTGCCAAAGGCCCATTTTGGAAGGATAGGAAAACGGGAGTCTGTGGGCACACAACCAAAAACGCATTTTCTGGCCTCTCGCTGGCCCTGCTCCTCACAGGCAAATGAGCAGGTTTCTCCGCTTGGGGCTCAGGCTCCTTAACACCGGGCGTGACTTGATGCTCAGAGGTGCGGCAGGAGGCTAGGTCTTCTCCAGGATTACCTTGACGGCTTCTCCAATCCAAGAGATCCGATTCTTGTTCTGTTTCTTTTTCTTCCCCTGATGCATTTTTTTGGGGGACGGCATCTCTGGAATGTTGTCGTCAACTTCTTCATCATCATCGGCCTCCTTCATGGCCATATTGGGACACCTATAGAGTCAGTGGTTATAGGCAAGTCCCCTCGGGTAAGTAAAACCTACTGGGGCTGTTTTAGTGGGTAATGGGGACAGGCCTGGCGACAACACCAGAAGAGGGAGCGCTGCCTTCCCTGCACGTCTCAGCCCACCTGCCCCGAACAAAGCTCATGTTCCTCTGCCAGGAGAGCGGCGTCGGCCAAACCTACCTCCTCTCTTGGCAAGCCTGTTTGCTCCGTCCGCTACCACCAAACTTAACCATGTCTTTACAGGCTTTACACTTTCCACATTCGGGCTGTTGACACACCTAAAAAAGTATTCAGGAAGGGAATGAAATGGCCATTAGTAACCGTTGGTAACCAGTTTTTTGTTTTGGGTGAATTACCAATTTAAAAAATTGTATTTGGCCTCATCAGGGAAGGGGGAAAAAGAAGTTCAGAACAAGATCCCATTCGTACCCTCCAGATTAGTGAGAATTAAGAAGCAGGACACATGTTGGGACAAGTGTGGAGAACTGAGAATTCGCCATGCTCACAGGGTCGGGGGGGCGGGGGGCACTACCGCTCTGGAGACTTTTCCAGACCAAAGTTAAGCATAAACCCACACCCCAGCAATTCTGCTTCTATGCAGAGACGATCCCAAGAAGCCTCATTCAAGGATGTCGCCACTGCATTATTTATAACAGAGGAAGAAGCTGGAATACTCGTATAATGAAATACTGTGGAATAATCAGAATGAGTCCACCAGATTACTTGTATCAACACGTAACAGTGGCAAACACCAGTTGTGCGTATTCAGGAAGCTCTGGACAATGCATGTACATGTGCTAGGTGAAAAACTAAAACCAAGAGAATGGGGAGAACACGTGAATTCCTGTTAATAAAACAAAGGGAAAGACAGAGTCCAGCCGACGGTGTGAACACAGGTTCTGAAGGCAGTTGTGGTATTTTTGCATTTCAGTTTTTGTCCAAAGTCAGTCAAATACGGTCTACTTCCTATACTACAGGTGCAGTTCCAACAAAGCTAGTCAAATTAATTTCTTGGCTTTCCAGTACATATACAAGTTATATTTATTCTATAGTCTATTAAATTGTTAAATGTGTCATTAAATAGCATGAAATCTAAAAAAAAGTATATTTTTTAATTTAAAAATTCTTGGGGCGCCTGGGTGGCTCAGTCAGTTGGGCGTCTGACTTCAGCTCAGGTCATGATCTCGTGGTCCGTGGGCTTGGGCCCCGCGTCGGGCTCTGTGCTGACAGCTCGGAACCTGGAGCCTGCTTGGGATTCTGTGTCTCCTTCTCTATCTGTTCCTCCCCTGCTTGCTCGCGTGTGCGCGCTCTCTCTCTCTCTCTCAAAAACAAATATTTAAAAAATTGAAAAAAAAATTCTTTATTGATAGGGCGCCTGAGTGGCTCAGTTGGTTAAGCATCCGATTCTTGATATTGGCTCAGGTCTTGAGCTCAGGGTCATGAGTTCAAGCCCTGTGTTTGGCTCCATGCTGGGCATGGAACCTACTTAAAAAAAGAAAAAAAAACTGCTAAAAGCATGCTAACCATCATCTGAGCTTTCAGCAAGCTATAATCACCGGTCACAGATCACCATAAATACAGTAAGTAAGTTTGAAATATTCTAAGAATTACTAAAACGTGATAGAGAGTCTCAAAGTGAGCAAATGCTGTTGGAAAAATGGCACCAATTGACTTGCTCGATGCAGGGTTGCCACAGACCTTCAGTTTGTTTAAAAAAATAAAAAACAAAAACCCAGTATCTGCGAAGTGCAGTGAGACAAGATATGCCTGTAGCAGATACCAAAGTATCTCTTCTCTAGGTGACTGGAGAAATTAATCCCCCTAATACTAAGTGAAGTAAATCTAAAAAATTCCACAGGAAGAGAGGGCTTTTCAAAGCCCTCCAATCCATCCTGGACAGAGTCCCCACTGTCCTGGGAAAGTTACACCATGAGACGAGGCAGGCCTGCGGGGATGTCCTCCCCCTCGGAGAGGGCAGCACCTCTGTGGGGTAATCCCTTCCTCTGCACTCACACCGAGGCCTCTAGACAGTGCTATGCAGGTAGAGCGAATGCCACCCAGGAGGCCAGGCTAGTCAGTAACAGTGGATCAATAGCGCGGTGCCCAAGCACACCTCTTTCCACAGCTGTCCGGCCAATCTGCTTGTCCCATGAGGCATGCAATCCTCTCCCTCTCCGCCCCCGCCCCCACCCCGATAACTTTCTCCCAGCTTCCACGTTAGGGGTCACATTTGAGCAGGGAGAGTCTCAGCCAGGAGAAAAGTTCTTCAGATTGCGCGGGGAGCCCGGCCCAGGTGAGGTTACCTCACAGACGCCACACCGTCGGCGTTTGAAGGCGTTCTCCTTGTCTTCTCGGTCATCCTTTTCGATTTGCTCTGCGAAGAAAGTGTCAAAGATCTGGTAGACCAGCTTGGTAGTGGTGGCTTTAGTGGGGCCTTTGTCCTTCTCTTTGGCAGAATGCCCGATGGTCTGACGTCTTTCAGCTCGCCTGGGACAGAGGTTTCCATCGTGTTAGCAGGCTGGGGAGGAGTGCACAGGACACTCTACCTTCTCTGGTCTCCGGTCTTCGGTTTTATGCCTGCTTCGTCCTTACCTTTTTCCTAGGGTGACCCCAGCCAACTTGATCAGGTCCCTCATGCAGGGGGTCAGAAAGATGGGCTGCTCGTCACTGTCCCCAGCCTCATCATAACTCTCTACTTGTTCTACCACAAACTGGGCGTGCCGAAGGAGAGAATCCTCTGTGAATCGATTCAGGTTGAGCACAGAAGGAGGAACAGTGGTCTTTAAGAAAAAGATCAGAAGTTTCCCTTAGGCTTAAGAAAAACCGTTCTAATCAAACTGAAAAGCGGTTTCTGATTTTAGACAAGAGTTTTCTAGCAACATCTGTGCCGCATGTAAATAGGCATGAATCTCGGGTTGCGGAGACCCTGAGCCCCTCACCTCGATCTTATTGATCAAGTCTTCATAGGTGGAGTCTGGGTTGCTCTGCAGGAACTCAACCACAATCTTACTTATGTAGATCTTCTCCTGCATCACACTAAACAGCGGCGCGTACTCTGGGTTGGGATCCATCAGAATGTATTCGGCAAAAGCTGAAATAAACCGCAATTTTAAAAAGTGGTCTGAATGTGATGGCAGCTATGATGGCCAGAGGGCAGGGATGAGTCTACGAAGACTATGGGATAGTCTAAAAGTCATTCCATATGCACAAGTCAACAAAACGCAAAGGACATTCGGAGTTAACCCATTCAGAAGTGGCCTAAGACAGCTAGGGATCGAAGGCGCCTGGCTGGCTCAGTCGGTGGAACATGGGACTCTTGATCTCAGGGTTTTGAGTTCGAGCCCCACACTGGGTGCAAATATCACTTAAATAAAATCTTAAAGAAGGCAGCTAAAGGGGCGCCTGGCTGGCTCAACCAGTGGAGCACATGACTTGTGATCTCAGGGTCAGGAGTTTGAGCCCCACACTGTGTGTAAGATAAACAAAAATTTTTAAAAAGGAAGAAGACAGCTAGAGAATGGGAGACTGGCCAAGTGGCCTTATTTGGGCTCCTCTCTTGTTTTTGGAATTCAGTCGGTGTTTGAGCTGTAAGAATAGGACTGGCACTTCTAACTGGAGGGCCAGCTGTAACCCCTACAAAAAAGTCATCCTGATGGTTTCGTAATGGAAACCACCCTAATGATATGGTTCGCAAATAGTCACAAGTTAGTCACGTGCCATTCACGGGAGGCTGAAACATCCCACCCAAGCCCAACCAAGCCCAGGGGAGGACAGGAACAAGGGCTCCTTTCCGATTCCATCACGGTCCACAACTGGCCACACACTTACAGGTGCTGAAGCCAATGAGCGCCTTTTCACCTCCATCAAAGCCAGTGATCCACCATTCATTTATGGGGCCAAGATTTTTGCCATTAACACCACCTAGGAAAAAGAAAGTTTCCTGAAAAGAAATGGACTAAGAACTATGACTCCCATCAAACCCCAGAAGGGCCAGTGGCACTCTGAGTGCCCCCGAGGTGACTTCTCTTGTCAGCCAAACTGGGCAGTCCTCAGAGACACCAGAGCGAGTTTGCTGTTTGCTAATAGCTGTTCACAGCACAGTCTCAAGCCCTAACTTTAAGGGACAGTCGTTCCAACTGAATAGTGCTTTGCAGGTAAGCTTTGTTTTTAAGATCTCTGCCCAAACATAACCTGGAACGTTCCACTGACCTTCAAGAGACGGGTCATCATCATAGATTGGTTTTGCTGAACCGGAAAAGAAGAGCTCAACGTTCTTCTCAATGAGACCAGTGTCGATCGGGCACAGGTGACCACGCTTACAGTACACGCTAGACAGGCGACAGATAGCAGTTACCAGCCGACCAGTGAAGGCAGGCAGAAGTACACAATCAAGCTCAGACCCAAGGTGACGAGACCACGTGCAAGTCCTAGACTCTTAACCTCCTCGGCTGTCAGAACACTTCATTGGCACAGTGTTCTCACCCAGTTTCTACCCAATTCTCCCACCTATGCATCAAGAGGATCTTGATGTCTGCAGACCTAGGCATCTACAAAGGTGACACCAAGAAGTCAGGGAGTCTTAGAGTGGGGTGACAGGAAACCTCACAAAGGAACAACGCACTACTGCGTCTTCCCTCGGCACACTGCTATCGGACAAGCACTGGCTTCTCAGACACATGCTGCTTACGGCTGTGGCCACCACCTCGATCTAGCTCCAAAATGCTTTCACTGCCCACAAAGAAAACCTTCTCTCCATTAACCAGTCACTACTTCCTATTCCATCCCCGCCCCTGGCAATCCCCACTCTGCTTTCTCTGCATTTACGCATTCAGTGTTTCATACATGCTTAATGTTATAGGGACTTCACCTTAATAAGAAGCACAGTAAGACCTATTACCTAACAGCATGAAAACAGATGTAAAGATATGGGAAGGACATACTTCCACCTCATTTGGAGGGTTAAATCTGGAGTTTGAGGGCATCCATCCACAGTCCTACCACCCAAATGTCAAACTTCAGAAGAACATGAAATCAGGGTGTGTATGTGTGTGTTGGGGGTGGGGGGGGTCTTTCTGCTTATGGAACCGCTCGTGTTGGCCTCAAAGAGCACCTTCCGGGCAAGAAATACCATCCCGTGGTGCAAAGGCCCAGGCGGGCAACACAGAATCCGCAGGTCTTGAGAGCACCACCCCCCCATCACACTCCCACAGCCTAGGCCCTTGGAAGCCAGAAATCCTCATCCTGAAACCGCACAGAACTTCAGAAATGCAAACACGGACACCCTGAACTGAAACCCCCACCATGTGCCAGGCATGGTGGACAGACACGAACATCTTGAATTGAAACCCCTACTACGTGTCAGGTATGGTAGATAGACACGGGTCATCTCTCTGCCCTCGGGACTTAAGTCCAGTGGGAAAGATGGACACATAGCCAGGGAGGGGAGGATATGGAGGACGCACAGAAGGGGAGGATACAGTGCCCAGCCCAGCAAGCTATCCACGACGACAGGGAGAAGTTCTAAGTCCTAGGCAGAGGCAGGACCCACTAGTTCACAAAATGGACCCTGCCCAAGACTGCTTTCACCTGCCACTTTCAGCCCAAGTACCAGAGGTAAACAGAGTCCTTAAATAACTCTGGCAGTCCGGCTACAATGACACTATCCCTGCGAAGCGTGTCCTTAGTGCCGCCTCCCCACCCTACGGGAAAGGGTCTACAGCAGACCCTCTCTCAAGGAGGAAGCCAAGAGACCTCCAAGCTCTGACATTCCTGACTACAGCAGCCCGGGCTCCAGCTGCTGCTCCTCTCCCGAGCCTCTGTCCTGAGACACACAACAGGGCGGCACGAGGGCATGAGCATCAGCCGCATCAACACAGTAGATTTCACTTGTGCCACCAGGCAGAGGTTGGGCCAGGCCCTGGGGGTCACTGGTAGGTGGACAGCATCTTGACACAGATCAGGATCCTGACGGTGTTCGAGAGGGGGATACAGCCAACCACCAACCACAGGGAGTATGAAATGTGCTGCAGAAGAAACACACTGGGGATCTTGTCTCGGGGCAAGAGAACCCCTAACCTGCTGTAGGGCAGGGGTGTTAGGAAAGTGATGACCACAACAGGTATGGTAGAGGAGATCCACCCCCACATTTTCCTCAGGGAGGGAAAAAGCACCTGCTAAAGCAGGTGAAACAAACAGTGGGCGCGTCCTGGAGCCAAGCCATTCCCCACAAAGAAATAAAGTGAAGGGGCGCCTGGGTGGCGCAGTCGGTTGAGCGTCCGACTTCAGCCAGGTCACGATCTCGCGGTCCGTGAGTTCGAGCCCCGCGTCAGGCTCTGGGCTGATGGCTCAGAGCCTGGAGCCTGTTTCCGATTCTGTGTCTCCCTCTCTCTCTGCCCCTCCCCCGTTCATGCTCTGTCTCTCTCTGTCCCAAAAATAAATAAACGTTGAAAAAAAAAAATAAATAAATAAATAAAGTGAAGCCGCAGAGTAACTGCAGCCCCAGCGAGGAGCAGAATGGAGCACAGGGTGCAGAACACGGGACTGCGTACTCACAGGCTTGTTTGAGCCTTGCCAAAGGTGCAGTCCAGACGCCAGGACCTTCACTCCAGAACCTCAAGGGCCACTGCCACAGCCTGTGCAGCCCTGCTTGGTCTAGCCCCCTCCCGGGCCCTCTGCTCCCGCAACTCTGACCACACCAGCCTCATCACTGAGTCCTGCACAGCCAACAGGAGCCCACCTCGGGGTCTCTGTACCTGTTGTTCCCTCCAGCTGGGGTGTCCTTCCCCAGCTGTCCCCTCGACTTACGCTCTATGCCACGAAGGGTTCTGCTCGAGTCACTTCCCCTCTGTCCCAAACACACTCTCCCAGCCCCTCTCTGCTCACCATGCCTTTCACGTGTGCCGCGGTTACTACCACCTGACACGCAGAACTTAGCTTCTGCCCCCAGGAAAGCAGGGACCCACGGTGTTGTACCCATAACACCTAAGTCAGTACCTACCTAGCACATGGTTGGCCCTCATCTGGATGAATGAGCTTCAGGATGTGTACAGACTGAAGATTAGACATGTACGGTTTTAACAACCCACACGGCGGAGATCTACTACACTCCCACCATCTTTGGGGCTCTGATCCGGGAGGCGTTAGCAACTTGAGAAAGGCTACGGGTCAAACGCTAAAGAACCTCAAGAGGACATCAAGAACTTCGGCACCTTCAGGAAAGTGCTCTGTTACAATGAAGCAGAAGCATATGCGTTACCTAAAGCAGGTCAGTTTGTGTTGGGGAAGGGCCTCATAACTCTCGAAGCCAGACTCGTTGGCATCGAAGATGGAGAGTCTCTCATTTGTCAACAGCTGTGGCTCGTCCACCTGAGAGACAGCGACCGTTAGGCTGAGGCAGAGGCAGAGGCAGGAAAGAGAAGGCGGGAAGTAGAGCCGGAACTTACTGCGTCGGGGGGATGCTGTTCGTACTTCAGCTCGGCATCATCCAGGTACTGCCCACACTGAACGCACCGCAGAGGATTGGGCTGGGGGCACGAACACAAACAGCACTCAGAGGGCCGGCTCCGGGCAACCCCAGCACCCGCTTTACTCCCAGTTGTGGGTTTACCTTGGAGGACACCACGGTCTTGGTTCGGGCCATTTTCTTCTCCGTTCTGAGAATAAAGCAGAACATAGTTTGTGGGTTTTCAATCCTATAGGAACATGTGAGAAGCCACCCAAGTTACGCCTAATCTACTGACACAGGTGAGCACCAGCTGCTGCCTTGGAGGGAGAAGTGCCAGGTCCTCGGTGCCTCTGTACCACAAGGAGGGACCTGCCTCATGCAGAATTGGAGCGTTTGGGTCCTGAGCTCACAGACCCCATAAGAAATAAAGCTAAGCTAAGGCTGCTCTAGCAATTCATTAAAACCCCTTCATCTTTTTTTCTAGAATGAGAATCTTAATATGATCCGCTTTGTACCAAGACAACAATAAGTGCTTACGGTTCTTTGGACGTAGTTTTGCGTCTCTTCTCTTCCTACATGGAGAGAACAAAAGAGGGTACAAAAGTATTTTACATCTGGACAATGCTCCAGAATTTTATTTTTTACATTTTTTTAAATATTTATTTATTTTTGAGGGAGAGAGAGAGAGAGAGAGAGAGAAAGAGACACCGAGCGTGAGCGGGGGGGGGGGGGGGGGGCAGAGAAGGAGACACAGAATCTGAAGCAGGCTCCAGGCTCTAAGCTGTCAGCACAGTGCCTGACACAGGGCTCAAACTCACAGACCATGAGATCATGACCTGAGCCGAAGTCAGATGCTTAACTGACTGAGTCACCCAGGCGCACCAATGCTCCACAATTTTATATACACAGTTATCACAAAACCTAGTCAGAGGCAGAGAGGAAGAGAGTCAAGGGACCAGTGAGGTCCAAGCCATCTCCAGTGTCTAGAGTCTTCTATTCAAAATTCTTGTAACTAAAGACTTCCTTAAGAGACTTCTAACAAAAACCATTAAAAACAAACAAAAAAAAAGCTTAGCTTACCCGTACAAGCAGTACCTCAAGGCAAATAAACAACTGATGAGGGGTCTATGGACTGAATTAAGTCCCTCTAAAGTTCATGTTGAAGCCCTAACCCCGAATGTGGCTGTATTTGGAGAAGAGGCTTTTAAGGAGGTGACCAAGGTTCTAAGGGTGGCCCTAATCCAACAGGGCTGGTGTCCTCTTCAGAAGGGGAAGGGACACCAGGCTCCCTCTTCTCCCTCCACACTCACACAGGAAAGAGCCTGGGAGGACGCAGTGAGAAGGCAGCCGTCGGCAAGCCAGGAAGAAAGGCCTCACCAGGAACTAACCCTGGCGGCACTCTGATCTTGGACTCTGAGTCTCCAGAACTGTGGAAAAATAAACGTCTGTTGTTTAAACCACCCAGAGTGCACCACTGGATTAGTCTACCATTAAAAAAAGAGGAAACTTCTTTCTGGAGTTATGTTCGGCGAGTGAAGGAGTGAGAGAACTGTGGACTATCACCACTTTGCAGCTCCCAGTGAAACAGATTTAAACAATGACTGTTACAAACATTAGGTGAGAAGCAGAGAGAAGCTTTACAATGGATGGATCAGTCTTAACACCATAAATAGACAACTGTGCCTTCCGGTGTGACATGACAGGAAGCACCTGGCACCCCCTCAGAGTCCACTGGGCAACAAAGGACCTGCATCTGGTCGAGCCCCCAGACCTAACCATCAGTCTCTAGGAGACAGGGCTGGAGAGAGGTTTAACTCAAGAGGGGTGCAACAACAAAACACCAGGACCCAGAAACTCTATGGGTAAGCCAGATCCCTTCATAAATTGCAAGGCAGATGAGGGGGTAAGACTCTGGAGGAGACAGGACAAATAGAAACCAAATTCACTGTATAGGCCTTGTTTGGGTCCTGATTCAGAGTCCCCGTTGTTTCTTTTTTCTAGGCAGGGAAATCTGAACAGACTAGACCTTTGACATTGTATTAATGATGACCTTGTGGGGATATTTAAGAAGAGAGTCCTTTTATAGGAAGTTCTTCGGTAACTGTCTCAGTAATGTCAGGGATTTGTTCAGCATCACCCAGGGGTGAGGGAGGCTGGGAGAACAGGCAGGGACCGACTCAAACACTTGGCCATGAGCAGAGAGCTGTTGCAGGCCGATGAGAACACGAGGCCCTGCTGCCCTATTCGGCCTACTTCGGGGTATGCTCGAATGTCTCCAGAACAAAAAGTTTACTTAAAAAAAAAAAAAGTCACTTTGGGATGTAGGAAACAAAGGATTAAAAAACAAGAGCTTACCTTTTCATCCTCATCTTTTTCTTCAGAAACTTGTGGTTTTACTCTTTCCGGTTCTTTTTCTTCAGGTCTCCGTTTGGCAGCTCTGTTAGGTAAATAAACATATGCCAAATCTTTGCTCAGAATAACCCTATTGCCAACTCACATCAAAAACAAAAACTAATGCCTCCATATTGAAAAGCAAAATATTCAGAATATATCTGGGCAAGATTCTTTCTTCCGATCCAATAAAGAAAGCCCCTTGTCACGGTGGCTCTAAAAGGAGCACTGATAAGTTGTTTGAACTCCAAAAGCAGCCCCCGTGACCCCTCCAACGCGGGCCAAGCAAGAAGTGCCGGGAGGGAAGGGACCCACAAGACGTGCAGGGGTGGCATGGCCACCCAAGTGGCAGAGGAGGCCCAGCTTAATTTCTTATCCAACCCCGCCCAAGCGGATCCAGTCTTCTGAGCGCATCAGCACCTCCGTGTAAACCTCTACATCAGCACCGATCTCTAGAATGGTAATTTCAGTAACGAAAATTACACAAAGCACAGCACAAAGGCACAAGCATTTCAACCACTTACAGATCTTTGGGTTGACTTCTGGGTCTCCTTTCATCCTGCGAGGGTGAAACAGGGGTGGAGAGAGATAGAGGGGAAAAGTTAGTTTCTGAGAAAAGAGCAAGACCAAACTGAAAGTACCAGTTAATGATCACAGCACCGTGAAACTGGAGAACAGGAAAATCCACACAGGCCTACAGGGGACAGAGGAGACTTCACATTTTTAACTCCATTCCCTAACCCCCTACAAGCAAGAGTTGGCCAGGACTGGGCAGGCGGTTTCTATAAAGAGCCAGAAAACATTCTCAGATTTTGTAAGGCTCGTGGTCTGTGTCACAACTACTCAATCCCACCATTATAACATAAAAGCAACCAGAGAAAACACAGAAGTGAAAAGGCACGACTGTGTTCCAAAAAAATTTATAAAAATGGGCAAAGGGCCAGATTTGGGCCATAATTTGCCAACTCTGTCCCAGAAAACCTCATTGTAAAAGGGATTATACCCATGTACCTTAAGTTGGCCAAATGCCTATACTTCCATTTGTCATCTGGTCAGAGGTAAAGATGTCATATAGAAAGGTATCGGGACAGCAGGAAAAACAAGGACAAAACTTAGCAATCTAGCATGGAAAATTAAGAAATAAAAGAATTCCCAACTCCGTCACCAACTCCTTGTTATATATAAACAATCTAGTGTCTTCTGAGCTTAAATAACTTTCTGATAAATTTATTGATCTTATCTTCATAGATTAACAAGTCTGTTAGGTTTATTAAAATAGGAGAGCCGGGGCACCTGGGTGGCTCAGTCAGTTTTAGGCGTTCATTTGAAATAGATCTCGTCCTCACGAGGTCAGAAATGAGTTCGAGGCCCATGATAGAACTCTGTGCTGACAACTCAGGAACCCCACCTGAGCCGTTCCAGATTCTGTGTCTCTCTCTGCCTCCCTGTTCATGCTCACAATACTCTCTCAAAAAGTAAATAGCGGCAAAAAAAAAAAAAAAAAAAAAAATAGGAGAGCCAACAATATTAGAAAGGGTCAAATGTTTGATCCTTCCATCTCTTTCTACCATGAGGCAAGAGCTCCCGCCAGTTTGTGTCTGCAGAGAATGGGCGGTCTGACACCATCACTAGGATCTCTCTAGGGGGCCTGGCAGGGATTCCGGGCAAGTGCCGACAGCAAGATAACCAATATCTGGACAGAAAAGGTGAGAGACAGCTAAGATGGCAGAGCATGCTGGAGGCGACACCAAAAGGGTCAAACGCCACGGAAAAAGAATGGATGCCTGTTGCCAGCCAGGTCAGAAGTAAGGAAGTGCATGACCCAGCAAGTCCGTGACCATGGGCTCCACCATCTAAATCTCAAGAGACAGAAGAACCACAGAAAATCCTGGGATTATCCCAGTTGGACTTCTCTTAGACAGGGACCACACGGCTTATAGAGCTGGGGAGTCCCGTGCTGCGGCCCCCCAGTGCACGAACCTCCCCTCCCTGGAGTTCAGTCAGCAGGACCGCCCTGCAGATGACCTTGCCATCCTGCACTTGTACGAAGGCCCAGCCCCACTCCATGCATAAAGTTGCAGAGTTTAAATATGTTCACTTAGCTGAACGGGGGAGGCTGGCAGGACGGGGAGACCTAGACTCGGAACTTAGGAGGCTGGCAGAGCAACACAGGTGTGGCTGGCGCGTCCGAGGGGAGGATCAAGTGCAGCCAAACGCGCACACACCTTCGTCAAGGTGCACACAGGCCCTGTCCACCGTTACAGGGAAGCAGACCACTGTACACACAGACATGAGACAACCACCAACCCCCATGAGGGGGATTAGGGAACTTTCCCAGAGTCGCCCCGTGGGGAGGTAGGGCTGGATTTGAACCCAGAGCCCTGCCCCACACCATGTGTCCCGACCAAATGGGAATAGAAGAAAAGTGGAATTTAAGAAGCAAAGATTCAGTCTTTACCCTCTCGTCTCCTTCATCCGTTTCGGCCTGCACTCCTGTTCTTCCTTCTCGGTCCAGCTCCTCCTTCGACTTCAGTTTAGGTGTTCTGTCACACAAAACCAGACACATCCACGCGATCAGCTCGGGGAGGCGGACACCACTGCAAGCACCCCTAGTGATGGCTTACGGTCTCCTCCCCGGACCCAGAGCATGGACTGCCTTTCCCAGCTGAAGGGCAAGTCTTCCCTATAGGAAGCCCGAAAGCCATTTATGACTTCAGAACTTATGATCTTCAGAGAGGCCATCAACATTTCATATAAATGAAACAAACAGCTTAAATGAACAGTTTAAAACAAAATAACCTCCCCCCCCACACACACACACAAATAGGACTCCATCGATTTCCTGTAACCTGATGGGAATTCTGCCCACAGAGGCAGAAGGCAAGTGTCTGGCCCAGAGGTGGACCCCGTGTGGGTTCACGACAGCTGGTCTGATGTGTGACCTGCATCAGTAGCCGTGGAAAGCCGACTAGCCACACAGGATCTTCACTTCCGGGCTCTGCCCCTCCGTTTGGGTGCTCTGCCCACCCCTAGACACAGGCCCAGTCTCGACATTTCCTCCAGCCAACTGGATGTCAACAGAGACTTGAAGTGCTCTTGACCTCTGCCCTCGCACTCTGCCACTGCTACAAAAGCACGCCCGGGCTGGCCAGGTCATCCCCATCATCTCCACCAAGCCTGGCCAAGATCAGTCAACAGACACCAGGAGGCAGACTTGCAAGCTCAGTAAATGAGGTCTTAAGTCACTGAGCTTCAGCAACCATAATTACCTGACATCCTCACAGCCAACGGGGGAGGAACGCAGCAGCTCATTTGATGCCCTTTCTCACTACCTCACAAACTACGTGTTGAATGACCACCACTGAGGAAGGGCCTCGGGTCAAGATCAGCTGAGCTCAGCCTTCACTCCGGTACTCCGACCTTCCCCAAGTGGAACCACCCACACACATATAACTTACATACCTAATGCTCTGCCTAACCCGTTATTTTTACCAGAACACTTATTTTAGCGACTTTCACACTAGGAAGTACAAAGGCATGTTAACTATACTTACGGTTCTTTGGTTTGACTTCTGAGCCTCTTTTCTTCCTAAGAAGGGGGGTAAAAAAGAAACTAGTTAATTTTCCCCCATTTAGCCCTGATCTTTCCATTGTTCTATGGAAACAATACCTAAACTGATCCTACAGTCTAGCTGGTGGGAGTAAATACGATCTATCTTCAAGATAGCAAGGTTTTTTTTTTTTTTTTTTTTTTTTTTTTTTTTTTTTTTTTTTTTGGGGGGGGTGCTAAGTAAGCAGGAAGTTGCAGGATCTAAGAGTTCTGTAATCTAAGTGCTTTGCCCCCAAACCCCTCTATCACACATCATGAGTACGTGTGGACGACCTCACAGACAACTGGCTAACAGAACCAGGAATCTATAATAAAAGCATGAAACAGGATGGCCCACTCTCAACAAGTGCTCCACCTCAAACACTGATGACGATCGTTTTGAACCCAAGTTTAGAAGAGCTAAACACACCTTTGTGGAAAAGGTCCCAAGTGAATTCGGCCTCAAACTCCACATTTTGTGAAGAGACCACAAGGGTTAGTGATGTTAAGAGAAGAAACACACTGAAGACCCATCTACTGCAAGAAGAGGTACTGGGAGTCTGACCACAGGCAAGGAATTTCAATCCTGCCCAACGCGCCCTGAGGGTAGTTGAGCAAGCCCACTAGAACTGCCTGTTCCCAAATGAGCTGGACTATAACTGCTATCTAACTAGTATTAGGGTAGGAGAGGTGATCGATTGAAGGCTAGCTTTATACCAAATGGTTCTTCAAGAATGGTCACTCACTTAGTTGATCCCCAACTAGAGCAATAACAGACACCCATCCTTTACCCTCCATCCAAGTTTGTAAGAAACTTCTAGATATTTTGAGAGAGAGAGAGAGAGAGAGGCACATGCATGCGGGGGAGGGACAGAGAGAGAGGGAGAGAATCTTAAGCAGGCTCCTTGCTCAGCACAGAGCCCAACTTGGGGTTCAGTCTCATGAACCATGAGATCATGACCTGAGCCGAATTCAGGAGTCAGACACTGAACCACCTGAACCAGCCAGACGCCCCAAAACAGGACCCAATGTTGCCCTGTCGCCGGTGGCTGCCCAACGTTAGCCCTTCTGTCATATATGACAACACTGTCCAATGGTAAGCTTCCCATTATCAAACCCCCATTCCCTCCCCTATCCTCTCCTCAAGGGGGTTCAGGTGGCACATCGGTCTTTCACAGAACCTTAAATTCGGATTGTACAAAGAAACTGGAGGTCTGAGGAAGACCTGGGGAGATCTGGTCTGATCGCCATGAAGAATGCAACTTTAGGGGCACCTGGGTGACTCGGTTGGCTGAGTGGCTGATTCTTGATTTCAGGTCAGGTCATAATCTCACAGCTGGGGAGATCAAGCCCCACGTGGGCTCTGTGCTGACAGCGTGGAACCTGATTGGGATTCTCTCTCTGCCCCTCCCCTGCTTGCATGCTTGCTCTCTTTCAAAATAAATAAACTTAAAAAAAAAAAAGAATGCAACTTTATATCTGGATGATGCTATAGAATTTCAGCACCCCTTGTGTTTGAAAGTCAGATTCCCACAAAGACTTGGTGAGCGAGGGAGGCAGATGGGCAGGGGCACAGACTCAAGTTCTGTCACTGATGGAATAGCAGAAGGTCCAGCTGCTCCCCAAGCCTAACGCAGTGTCCTTATCACGAAAGCCACACAACCCCCCTTCTGGGTAGAGAATCACAGAAAAAGAAGTCTGGAAAGCATTTTGGCTAAAGTCAAGGTCATTTTGATCAGGAGAGAAAGTCCTTTTGTTCCTACACGTGGCCCCCCTCCCGGTGACCCCCTTCCTGAAACCGAACGGGGACTCCAAGTAAAGTACAATGGACAAACTCGGATGTGACCAGGCTTTACTTTTTCGTCTCTTTCCTCCTCTTCTTCCATGTGTGTTCCAGGTCCTACTCTCTCCGGTTCTTCTGCAGGGAGCGGTCTAGCAACTCTGTCAAGCAAAGTAACACACACCCCAAGGGTGACTTTCCCCAACCCCTCCCCTGCCAGCAGTTTTCCTAAGGTCCTCCTCTTCCTACCCCAGAGAGCAATCTCCATCTCAGAGGCCCTGAAAGGCACATACTACTTTAATATTTAATCAGACCTTTAAATCTGGTTCTGACAACGGCCGGTTCCCCTCAATTCATTCTTTGCAATGAGAATTCTACATGAATTAAAGGCTAATAATCTGACCCCAAATTCAGCATTCTTGAGCCATCTATGGTCGCCATGGCAACTCACAATAAAGCTCTTTAAAACTTTGCAGAAAAGTAATTTCGGTAATGAAGATTGCACATTGTACAGAACAGGTATATTAATCGTTCTTACTGTTCTCTGGATGTAACTCTCCGCCTCTTTTCCTCCTGTGTGGAGAGAAGGAAGACAAGAACATTCATTTCAAAGAAGATCAACATGAAAAGCATGAGTGACAGTATTAAATACATTTGGCACAGTTAAAAATGGGGGGGGGGGCTGGGTTTAAGGGAAAGATCTGGGTAATCAGCATCAGTCTGGTAGTGCCATCCCACTACCCTCAAAACGAAGGAGGCCCAGGAGTTGGCCCAGCACATGCCCGTGTACCAGAGGTTTCCAGTGATGCTCTATAAAAGAATCAAAGGTCCTCCACCCCCAGTCAGGAAGTCTTTAATATTAGGAAAAAACAAAATAGTAATTTGGGATTCACAGCAGGAAGTGAGGACACTAGCTCTTCCCGGACGAACACCCTGGTGTATGATTTCACACTGTCTGCGGTCTCCAGGGTATCTACGTGTATTTAAGAGGGATAGATATACTGCAGTGACGAAACAGATCTGGATCCTGTTTGGGGTAGAGGTTACAAGACTCCATACACGTGAGTGCATATACACACATGCGAAAACTGGTAAAATCTGAATAAAGTCTAGATTGTACAGCGAGGTCACTTTCCTGGTTTTGCTGAGGTATTACAGTTCTAGATGTTACCATTGGAGAAACTTAGGGAAGTATACAGAACCTTGTTGTATTCTATTATAGGCAACACATACACAAAAATCTGTGGTATATGTAGGTGCAGATGGAAAACTCTGCCTCCAGGCTGCCTTCAGACTGGATCTACACCAGCTCTTCCCTGAGTCTCCAGCCTGTTGGCCTGTCCTGCATGCTTTAGTCTTGCCAGCCTTAACCGCAGGAGCCAAGTTTAAAATTAATCTTACACATACATCTTGTTTCTCTAGAGAACTCTAATGGTAGATTTCATACTAAGTCTCTTTCTCGCTCTCTCTCAGACAACATAGAGGAAACTGATAAATCCTTGCCTCTTCCCCGCTCTGGAAGGTCAGGAGGAAGGGAGATCTATGCACCAAACATCCTTTTATACTATTTAGAAGTTTTACTAAATGCATGTAATACCCATTTTTAAAACATAGTAAGTTCTCGTAACTTTAAATGGACTAAAGAAGATGATCCCTGTATGAGGACTTATGTGACAAAACTATCTGACACTGCTGGCTGGATACACCAAGTCTTATCTAGCATATTGTGACAATGTTTTTACAAGCCTGCATAAACAAAGCCTCCCAGGCCTCACACAAACTGCCAGTGAAATGGTAGGTTTCTTGAAAAGCCAGATGAAAAGGCTACACAAGCCTTCTAAAAGGTTAGGGTGCAAGAAACCACTCTAAAACAGGTGCATGTGGAAGAGAGCTATTGATATTACAAGAGCAAGCCTGTTTTGTCTGTAATGCTTTCTCCTAAGAGACAAGAGACGTGGCCACTGATCTGAACATGTGGTTCCCTCTGTGCCTCAGTTTCCCACTTAAAAGCAGGTAACCTAAACTTAACTACAGACATCAGAATAAAGGTCATGGACAGTAACATGTGGTTTCTAAAAACAGAATCCATGGGTCTTACAACAGGTTGTCAAGCCTACCTCAAGGAGAGTGGTAGCCCGGTGACACTTGACACCCCTTAGCCCAGTGCTTCTCAGCCAGAGTAATTTTACCCCTCCCCCCAATTTGGAAGTGTCTGACGATGGTTTTTGGTGGTGACAACTGAGAGGGGAGAGGGGGATTACTACTGGTATCTAGTGAGTAGAGGTCGGGATGCTGCTACATGCGATAAACCACAGGACCACCCCACCGCCTCCACAGCAAAGGATTATCTAGCCCCAAAAGTCAATAATGCCACGGCTGCTCTATCAGTAGCAGTAAGGCATTTACTACCCACACATAAACCTATAGACTTCCCTTCAACGTACATAGCTAATCCTGCAGCAAAATCAAAAAGAAAATTGATGTGCGACCATCTGGTATTATCTAGGTTTGGGCCTCAAGTCACAAGGGAAAGTACCATCACAGACTAACATCTTCTGTATCACAGACCTTCAGTAAGCCACTGTTTTTCTAACCTATGAGGTCTAAGTAGCATTATTACACTACATACAGCAACTCTAATGCTCTGCTGTTAGACAAGTTAGATGTGGAAAAGGAGCTACGGATGGCAGAAGCAAATGCTTTAAACATGTCACAGCTGGAGGTGCCTGGGTGGCTCGGTCAGTTAAGCGCCCGACTCTGGATTTTGGCTCAGGTCATGATCTCACAGTTTGTCAGATAGAGCCCCACATTGGGCTCTGCGCTGATAACACAGAGCCTGCTTGGGATTCTCGCTCTCTCCTGCTCTCTACCCCCTCCCTGCTCTCAGTCTCTCAAAATTAATTAATTAATGAATTAAAGTTTCGGGGGCACCTGGATGACTCAGTTGGTTAAGCATCCGACTCTTGAGCTTGGCTCCAGGTCATGATCTCATGGATTGTGAGTTCAACCTCTGCATCGGGCTCTACACTGACAGTGCAGAGCCTGCTTGGGATTCCCTCTCCCCCCTCACTCTCTGCCCTCCTTCACTCTTTCTCTCTCTCTCTCAAAAATAAACATTTGGGGCACCTAGGTGGCTCACTTGGTTAAGCATCCAACTCTTGGTTTCAGCTCAAGTCATGATCTCATGGTTCATGGATTCAAGCCCCAAGTCAGGCTCCGCAGCAGGCAGCGCATATCCTGCTTAGGATTCTCTCTCTTTCTCTCTGCTCCTACCCGGCTCACACTTTCTGTCTCTCTCAAAAATAAATAAACTTAAGGAAAATAAGTAGCACCTGAGTGGCTCAGTTGGTTGGGTGTCCGACTCTTGATTTTAGCTAGGGTAATGGTCTTGTGGTTTCTGAGCTCGAGCCCCGTGTCAGGCTGTTCTGGCAGAGCAGAGCCTGCTTGGGATTCTCTCTATGCCCCTCCCCTGCTCTCTCTCTCTCTCTCTCAAAATAAAGAAAACTTTAAAAAAAAATACATTTTTTTTAAAAAAGCTTTAAAAAATAAACAGGGGCGCCTGGGTTGCTCAGTCGGTTGAGCATCTGACTCTTGGTTTCAGCTCAGGTCATGATCTCACGGTTCCTGGGTTCGAGCCCGCATCAGGCTCTGCGTGGACAGCATGCAGCCTGCTTGGGATTCACTTTCTCCTCTCCATCTCTCTCAAAATAAATAAGCCCAAAGAATAAAATGTCACAGTTGATGGCCAATCTTGTCAGCTAGAGAAGTAAGAAAGCAGACATAGGAAGTAACAGACTCTGAAGTTATGGGGCTGCCTTGTGAGTAGCAGGGGCCTGTGGAGCCCTCAGGCCTAACTGTGACATACTTCATACTACCCGGGTCCAGGGACAGAAGGTCCTAACACCTTCTTGGTCACTTCAAGTCCATTTAGATAGGTCAAGTGTAAAGTCAGGGCTACCAGCAAAATACCAAAAGAAGGCAGAGTGAAGAAACTTGATAATGTCAGCCCTACCTGGTCTTTTTCTTCCTCAACATGATCATCCGATTTCGCTTTTTCACGCTCTTCCTCAGGTTTCCGTTTGGCAGGGCTGACACAAACAGGAAAGCCGACCGTTAGCTTCGCCAGACCCCAGACCTCCACCAGGCACGAGAGGACTTGTATTCCTCCCTACCAAAGGCGGCCTCTTTAAGACAGACTCAGGGCATGGGTGCCTTCTTCCCTCCAAGGAAATGCCCTCACTGCCAGGATATCGAAAGAGGCTTTAACTCTTGAGTGACGGGTTAGAAGCGCACCACTTTGCAAACCTAAGAAATCATGGAGCTAGACATCGATCAACAGCCGCTGGCATCACAGAAGAGACATCACATGCCTCTGATGGAAAGACGGCACCATCTGTGAAGAAGTCTCAGAAAATGATAGAGCTGGAATCTGATCCAACTTCTAAACCTAACTACCAGTTTACGAGAAACAAGACAAGGAAGACATTAACCACCAAAGGATGCAGTCAGCGAGACCTAGAAACTCTATTGGACAAGTGAACTAATTTCTTCAAATAAATGGCAAGAAAAAAGGAATCTATAATTTGAAGGGCTTCAAAACAAATCAAGTAAACACAATTTGCCACACATGGGAAAATACAAACACTGGTTACATACTTGATAGTAAGGAATTGTTATGCTTTATAAAGTATGAAAATATTAGAGTTAGTCTTTTTAAAAAGATAAAACATGTTTGCTACACATTAGTAATTCTAGAAAAATATGAATAAAAGGTTAAAAAAATATTTTATCATCTAGAAATCTACATTTCTGAGATGGGTTTCAAAATGACATCTGAGGGGGTGCCTGGGTGGCTCATTCAGTTAAGCGTCTGACTTCGGCCCAAGTCATGATCTCACAGTTCATGAGTTCAAGCCCCACATTGGGCTCTGTGCTGACAGCTCAGAGCCTGAGGCCTACTTCGGATTCTGTCTCTCTTCCTCTCTCTCTCTGCACCTCCCCCACTCGTGCTCTGTCTCTCTCTCTCTCAAAAATCAATAAACATTAAAAAAAAATTCAAAGGACATATCTGAGATGGGTTTCAAAGCAATCCAGTTGGGGGAGAGTTCACAGGGGTACAGACGAAAAGATGGCCAGCTGATAACTATGGCCACTGGGGGACAGGTACTTGGTGTTCATTTTACTGTCCTGGCTAGTTTTGTGTATATTTGAAGGTTCCTATAAGAGTAAGTAGACAGGAGGTCTTGAGAAATGCTCTTCGTGAATATTTAATAAAAAAAACTGCAAGATGAAAACCTATGCAATGTGGAAGTCAGAATTGCTAAATTAGGGGCACCTGGGTGGCTCAATCAGCTAAGCGTCCAACTCTCGATTTTGGTTCGGGTCCTAATCTCATCGAGCCTCACATCAGGCTCTGCAGACAGCATGGAGCCTGCTCAGGATTCTCGCTCTCCTTCTCTCACTCTGCCCCTCCCCCACGGTCTCTAAATAAAACTTAAAAAAAAAAAAAAAATTGCTACATTATACCCTAATTCCATTCCTGTTTTACCAGAAACAGTTGGCCCCAAGAAAAGGTGGTGGTCGATTCATTATATACTGACCCCCTTGAGAAATGAGATAGGATGGTGGTCTGCCTGGTAGTTTGCCTTGTAATCCTGGGGCTAGATGAAACTTCAGCTGTTTAAAGAAAAAAGAAACAAAAAAAGCCACTATGAATAAAAAAGTTCACAGAAAAGGTGCAGTTCTTTGGCATTACCAAGATAGCACAGAGAATCAGGTTCTGAAGATTAAGTACCCTTCTCTTGTTCTAACCAGGAACAGTCTTGATAAAGGTAGCAATTAGCACCTGCCAGTTTGCTGAGCCATGTTACTGGAGCTCTTATTGGAGGGGCCAAACTCTGAACCAGACAAGGAAACAAACTCTCAGATCATCAAAAGATAAAGTGGCCAAGAACCCAACCTGCACTCAAGTCCCATGCTCTTTGAGTTTTAAAAATTCCAGAAGAGTTACTCTGACTACAAATTGGGAAGGAGTCTATACATTTAGCTTCAATAGGCATAGAACTTAGAAACAATAAGTATTAATAACTCCTGTGACCTTATACAGCATAAGTGTAGCTGTTTTGGGATCTAATGCTCGATATTTGGCTACAGAAAAAAATCTGAAGAAGTACAGCATATACATCTAAGCTAGTTAGGAAGTATAGACAAGAAACAAACGAGGAAGTACCGCCCCAGGGGACCTATGGCTCCAAGTCTGGTACCGGGTAAGGGGACAGCCAGTCTCCACCAAGATGGAAGGAGTCAAGGGGTCTTACACTTTGTCTCTCCGTCCGATTTGCTTCTTCTGGGTGTGTAAAGTTTGGAAACAGGCTTGGGGGATCTGTTTTCCTCTGCCATTGCCACTCTGCGGTCCTCACCACTTGTCTGGCTCCCGTTTTCTAGACATCCATTCACTTCCCGACTGAGAGCATGAGCTCCATTCTCCAAGGATAAATCTTTATTTAAAAGGGATTTGACTTTAGCCAGGTAGCCCTCCTACAGCAGGAAAGGATAATTTAAGTAGCAGTGAATGCAAACACGTGGCAATAAGAGAATAAGGAAACACGCATTTCCTTTGTAACTACTGGGTAACAGGGAGAGCTGGGGAGGATTCTGCCTCCCTGGTCACACAGGAGTTAACACGGGAGGGGATGTTTCCTAGACGCCAGGATGTCAAGAAGTGACTTACCTCTGATAATTCTTCTTTATGTAATTTGGTTTCCAAGTCACATAACTGATTCTTTATTTCTGTTTGCAGAAATTCATGCAAGAGATTCAATTTCTCCTTCACACATTCCTAAGGGAAGAATATAGGTTTAGATGTCCTCAAACTCCCGAGTTACTAACTAATGGACTAATATACAGATAATTAAGCTGCCTGATCACAAAATAACCGAATGGCAGGCAATGCTGATTCAGCCTTAAAAAACTGAATATTCACAAGACACGTTTGTGATGGTACAATGTGATCTTAACAAATGTATCTCCAGAGTGGTGAAAAACGAAAGGCTAGATGTGGGACAGAGACCTAGAACAGTGTTTTAGGAAAAAGTGCGCTTTTGAGGAATAAGACCAGGGTAAGTTACAATTCAGAACTCATGGTGTGGAACCTAGACTGAGAAACTTGTCAATGAGTTACCAAAAATGAACCAAATTAGCACCACATTAAGAATAATATCTAGGGGCGCCTGGGTGGCTCAGTCGGTGAAGCGTCCGACTTCAGCTCAGGTCATGATCTCGCGGTTCATGAGCTCAAGCCCCGCATCGGGCTCTGTGCTGACAGCTCAGAGCCTGGAGCCTGTTTCGGATTCTGTGTCTCCCTCTCTCTCTGACCCTCCCCCATTCATGCTCTGTCTCTCTCTGTCTCAAAAATAAATAAACGTTAAAAGAAATTTTTAAGAAAAAGAATATTTAGGTTATCCTTGAAACTGGGGATAAGCCAACTCCAACTTGAACTTTTATTGAGCCACAGGGGCACCTGGGTGGCTCATTCAGTTGAGTGTCTGACTTTGGCTCAGGTCATGATCTCCTGGTTCAGGAGTTCAAGCCCCACATCAAGCTCTGTGCTGACAGCTCAGAGCCTGGAGCCCGTTTTGGATTCTCTGTCTCTGTCTGTCCGTCCCTCTCCCACTTGGGTGCTCTTGCGTGCACGCGCTCTCTCTTTCTCTCTCTCTCTCTCAAAAACAAACGTACGTGAAAAAAAAATGCTTGAGGCACAAAGTGTCTGTCAAATAATCACATTTGGTAATAAAATTTAAGATGGGGATTACCTTTTCTGTAAGGCTATCTCTTTCCAAATCTTTGAGCCTGTGGGAAGAAAACAGGGGAGAAAGAAAGGCTGTTAGGCAACTTTGTTTACTTTAAGAATTAATACCACAGTTTTAAAGAACTTTGGAAATAAACTGGATGTATATGAGTGTTAGAAAATATATATATATGTGGTGGTTTTCTCCTCCTCCTGAGGTCCTCAAGTCCTGCTAGAATGCCTACAAAGTCATTAAGAAGGCACATGCAACCTGAAGGAGGTCCCCCTCTTTAGTTTTTCAGTTTTTCTTCTTCACTTTTTCTGAAGGTGAGGGGCTAGAGGAGTTTGAGAGAACAGGTGCTATTTCCAAAGGAACTGGGACAGTGGAAGCAGCCCGCACAGTTGGGGTCCTCCTGTTCACTCACTTACAGGTGGTCTCCCCCAGTTCTTCTGGCAAGACCCCGAGGAAGGGCACACCACAGGGTGGCCAGCGTTGGAGTGAGTAGACCAAGGCCACAAGATGCTGTGGGGAACAGCCAGCTAACATTCCCAAAGGCTGGGGGGATGTGGGGAGGGGGGGTAGGCAGCATTCTAATGAGGAACGTAAGCATTGGGGAAGTAAAGGCATCTGGGGCAGCAGGGGCGCCCACACTCAGGGGCAACAGATGGGAGTGAGAAGACTGGCCGGCACCTCACCAAAGATCTCTCCGTTTCGAGTGTCTGCACCTAATCTCTTAGGAGTGCACACTGGTCAGGAGTTTGGCTGGAAAAGCACAACCTGATTTGATTATTGAGGATTAGCGTCTTGCCTTTTTTTTTTGGGGGGGGGGGCAGTGGCAGGAGAGAGAGGAAAGGAGCAGTTTTGAGAAGACACTGGGCAGAGAGGAAGAAACAAGCTGTGGTTCCTAGCCCCAGCCAGCTGACATGGGGAGGAGAACAGGCCTAACCAGCTTGGTTAGCATCTGTCACTGGAGAAGAAGTACCCTGTGCAGGGACCAGGCCTCATCATCCTGAACCTCCCACTCAGCACCTGTACAGATGGTATAACCCGCATTCATCACCAGCTGAAAGGGCGAACAGGGTCCAGGCCATTTTTCCAAGGGTGGCGGGAGCAGTGCACGCTATCAGGTTTTGTTGACTGGGTCATAGGCTGCCTGGGTGCGCATAAACCCTCACCGGCTTTTGATCCCCAACACTATAATCCTTGTTATGCCAAGTCTGATATTCCAGGCAGGAGTTGGGTAACTGATGGTGGGACTGCTGGTAGGGAACTCCTGACCTTGTAATAGAAAAGGTCTTTTCTATAGTAGGATGACTGACTGCAGATATGGTGACAGTATATACTATATATATATACACACACACACACACACACACACACACACACACACACACTCCTTTTGCATGTGAACCCTTCCAGGCCAAGTCATTCTACTTTCTTTTTTTTTAATATGAAATTTATTGTCAGCCTGGTTTCCATACAACACCCAGTGCTCATCCCAACAGGTGCCCTCCCTCAATGCCCATCACCCACCCTTCCCTCCCTCCTCACCCCCCCCATCAACCCTCAGTTCCTCCTGCTTTTAATTCTTATGGTTTCTCTCCTCTTTCTTTTTTTTTTTTTAAACATTTATTTATTTTTGAGACAGAGCATGAATGGGGGAGGGTCAGAGAGAGGGAGACACAGAATCTGAAACAGACTCCAGGCTCTGAGTTGCCAAGCACAGGAGCCCCATGAGGGGCCCCTGTCTCACAGACCGGGGCGAGATCATGACTCCTGAGCCAAAGTCGGCTGCTTAACCCGAATTGGAGCCACCCAGGCGCCCCTCTAACTTTTTTTTTTCCTTCCCCTCCCCCATGGTCTTCTGTTAGGTTTCTCAGGGATCCACATAAGAGTGAAAACTGTGATGTGGTATCTGTCTTTCTGTATGACTTGTCATGCCCTAGCAAGCATAACACTCTCCAGTTCCATCCATGTTGCTACAAAAGGCTATAATTCATTCTTTCTGATTGCCAAGTAGTATTCCATTATGCATATAAACCACAATTTCTTTATCCATTCATCAGTTGATAGACATTCAGGCTCTTTCCATCATTTGGCTATTGTTGAAAGTGCTGCTATAAACATTAGGGTACAAGTGCCCCTATGCATCAGCACTCCTGTATCCCTTGGGTAAATTCCTACAGTGCTATTGCTGGGTCATAGGGTAGATCTTAAAAATTTTTAATTTTTTGAGGAACCTCCACACTGTTTTCCAGAGTGGCTGTACCAGTTTGCATTCCCAAGTCATTCCACTTTCAAAGTAACCCAGGTTCTGGGAGAGCCAGATGAGAATAGCTACACAACTCTGTATGCACAGCCAGAGGTACACATCCCGCTACAGGAATGGAACATTGGACTTCCCAGTCATCCCACTCACAAAACTGTGGCAACACACAGCCCCTTAATCCTCAAGTCAGGCATTAAGAACAATGCTCAGCTGCCTGTGAAGCCCATCAAAGTACCCTCTTCACCAATGCTGACAACCCCTACATCTGGGCACGAGACAGATCTGTGGGTCTAAATGCTGTTGACCTCTCCTATGAACTGGGATTGTCTAGCTTGACAGAGAAAAACCAAAAAATCTTCAGAATACCAAAAATGTCATGCCCTGAGAAGACTGGATTTAACCTGTCTGGCCCCAGAGAGGACGGTTAAGAGCCCAGGGCAGGCACTGAGGAGCCAGAGTGGGGCAAGGAGGAAGCTGGTCAGCACACCTCCCCTGACACCCAGGCTTTCACCCGAGAGTCCATCCCTTCCCCGGCAAAACCGATGACGCCACCACACATCTGCTTTACATTCAGGGCCAGGAGGATCAGAAAGACGTGAAGGACCAGGTAGAATACTCAGAACGGCAGCCATGTTATGAGATAAAACTTTAGGTCCCTTCCAGCCCAAGATCCCATGATTCATTTCTAGTTGCTTCCCTCATGCAGTAATCTTAGAAGGGAAATAAAAACATATCCAGGTCCCTGGGTGGCTCAGTCAGCTAAGCGTCCAGCTATTGACTTTGGTTCAGGTTGTGATCTCACGGTTCAGGAGATCGAGCCCCACGTCGGGCTCCACACTGACAGAGTGGAACCTGCTTGAGACTTTCTCTCTCCCTCTCTCTCTGTCCTTCCCCTGCTTGCACAAGCACACTCGTAAATAAATAAATACATTTTAAAAACGTATATCAACAACTGAAGGAATAAAGCAAATACAGTTCTGAGGGCTTCTGAAGAGCAAAGGTCTAAGAACACCATCAGGAAGGACTGGCCCAGGGGAGTGGAGAGGGCTCAGTGGGAACGGAGCAGGGAGACCTGCCCAAACAGGGAGCTGGCTCAGGGTACACCTAAGAAACCCACACAAGTCAGGCTAGTGCCAGTCTGAGGGAGGTAGGCAACACCAGGCTAAAAAACTGATTTTCTTCCATAGTTACACCACTGAAGGAACCATGGGGGGAGGAGGAACCCAAGACATCAGAGCCATGTTTTAAGAAAATTAATCTGGCAAAAATACATGATGTAGATTAGACAGGAAGAGATTACAAGATGTTAAATCACTCCCTAACACCCTGAAACTAGAAATGCTGGTCTGAAACAGGATTTAGCAGCAGGAATGGAGAGCACGCTAGAGAAGTTACAAGAGGCAGAATTAACGGAGTTTTGTAACTGTCTACGTGGCAGTTGGGGTAGGGCCATCTGAGACAGTATCTGTAGGAGGCGGGATAGCGACCCCTCCCAAGAGAGATGTCCATGCCCTAATCCCCCAGAACCTATTAATATGTTGCCTTACCTGGCAAAAGGGACTCTGCAGATGTGATTAAGGTTAGAGCCTTTGAGATGGGCAGATTATCCTGGATTAGCCAGGTGGGCCCAAACTAATCACTTAAATCCTTAAAAGCAGAAAAAAATCCCAGCTGCATTTCGAAAGATGTGACTACAGAAGGTTCAGAGAGAGATGTGACAGGAGAACCAGCTTTAAATATGGGAGGAAGTGGGCCATGAGCCAAAGGATACATCACCTCCAGAAGCTGGGCATGGTTAGAGCCAGCAAGAGAAGAACGACCTCAGTCTTACAACCGCAAGGAACTGAATTCTGCCAACTTGAAAGAGGAAGCAACAGATTCTCCCCTAGAGCCTGCAAGAAAGGAATGCAGCCTGTGGACACTTTTGCATCCAGGGAGACCCAAACCAGATTTCAGACCTATAGAACTGTTAAAACAGATGTATGGGTTATTTAAGCCACTGAGATAACTGGTTATGGCTGCAACTGAAAACGAATACTGTATCAGAAATTCAGGACATTTTGGTAGGGAAAAAGTAAAAAGGCCAGGAGTTTGAGGAGTGATGGTTCAATGAATAGCAGCTCTCTAGATGGCTATTCAGCAGCTAGAGATTAAAAGTGGCTCTCCTGAGAGAGATATCAAAACTGGAGGTAGTCCTGTCCTGCTGACAGGCCCAACTGCTACACAGAAGTCCTAGGACTAGGGGAGCCTGGGTGGCTCAGTCGGTTAAACAGCCAACTTCGGCTCAGGTCATGATCTCAAGGTTTGTGGGTTCGAGCCCCGCATCAGGCTCTGTGCTGACAGCTCAGAGCCTGGAACCTGCTTCAGATTCTGTGTCTCCCTCTTTCTCTGCCCCTCCCCTTTTCGCACGCTGTCTCTCTCTCCCTCTCAAAAGTAAATAAACATTAAAAAACAAATTAAGGGGTGCCTGGGTGGCGCAGTTGGTTGGGTGACCAACTTCCGCTCAGGTCATCATCTCGTGGTTTGAGTTCGAGCCCCGCGTCGAGCTCTGTGCTGACAGCTCAGAGCCTGGAGCCTGTTTCAGATTCTGTGTCTCCCCCTCTCTCTACCCCTCCTCTGCTCACGCTCTGTGTGTCTCTGTCTCTCGATAATAAATGTTAAAAAATAAAATCATTTAAACAAATAAATAAGTAACAACAACAACAACAAAAAAGTCCTAGGACTAGAAGAGATAAGGGTCCAAGAATGAAAGAAAAATGATTAAGGGGGTTGGCGGGGGGATTGATGAAGAA